TTTCAGCAGTAACTATAACTCCGCATGACTTAAAAAAAATATTTTTAAATAAAGTTTTCTTTGCACTCCTACACAAGAACCAAGAAATTTTTTTAACATTTTTTTAAATACACAATGTGTGAGACACATACTGTACTTATAATTTTTTTTAGTTTACATAAAAATTGTGGCATGAAATATACAAAAGTAATTCTGACAACCGCAAACTATTCATGGTTTGGCAGAATTTCCATGCCCTGTAAGGGTGAAAAGCACCACAACATGATTTTGGGTTCAGACCCACGTAGAGTGGTCCAACTGTGAAAAAGGCTCTTGTTGGAGTAGAGCACTTATTTCTCACTTACGGTTTCTTAATGTCTTACTGTTTTCTTTCTTTTAGTTGGCTTTAGCTTGCCATACGATAACAAGGCAATCAGTGCGAGACGTTGTTGAGAGGGCGGCTTCTCACTGTGAGATCTGGAGAGAGAACGTGATCTGTTCATGATCCCACCCAACCTCAAGAAGCACATTAGGAGTTAAACATGTAGTGAAGTCTGGGGTGAAGACAAGTTTTACTCCAAAGTACATGAAAGAAAGGATCGCTCCCACTAGCCTTTTGTTGATAAACTGTGGTACACAGGAATATTCATCCCCAGAACTGTAACATACTATAGGTTTCAATGATACAATCATTTTGAGAGAACTCAGTGCAGATCGCTGGCCTCTCTTCATATTCCTCTCCTACTCTTTTCTTTATTCCTCTGCTCGGGCAAAAAGGGAGACAGACGGGAGGCTTTAGATTCATGCTGCCAGGAGATCCAGGAGGTCTGACTGGGAGCAGATGCAGCAGTTATGAGACAGAGTCATGTTTGGAAAGAGAGGCTTTGAGGATGCTGGCAAAGCTCTGCGCTGGTGGGAGGACCAGTTGGAAAGGGCCAGAACCTTTCAAAAAGGGTATTCAGGATTATCGAGTGAGAGAGGAAATCATTAAGAAGAGGAGAGGAAGAGAGACCGTGAGAGCGAGAGAATTAGGAATGGAGAGGAAGTTGGGAAGAGAAAATGACTCAACCAGCCAACAAACTTCTAAATGAGCACAATAGGAACAAAGAAAGGAAGTCAAACTTTCACACTGGCAAAACTTATTGTACACTGTTATCACAGCTAAGTGCAATGAAATTAATTAAATCCAAGGGATAAAGAGAAGCAACGCAACTTCTGTGTCACTACTTAACTGCCTGCCATTCCTTTCAGCTGTGTTCTTGAAGCAACCATTCAACCAAATCCAACGCAAATGACACATCAAACATGATAATAAAGAAAAAATTCCACATAATCTTAACATCATCAAACACCTTCGCTTTGTCACTTCCTTTGGCGTCTGCTACAAAAGCACATTGCGGTCTTTAGCGTCATAGTTGAACACACTAGGGGAAGCCCTTTAGCATCATTGTTCAATGATTGGCCAAGTATAAATAACAGAAAAGTCTGAGTAAGAAGGCAGTTGGGTAAGAAACCGTATTTTCACGGTACTGAGACTAGTGTTCGATTCCCGTGTGAAACAAAAAGTCAACATCCTACATATGCAAAAACAACACTAAAGGGTACCCAGGGCATTTACAGTAATTCCAAGGTTGCTGACTATGCGTCCATATGTGACGAGTTGGGAATGAGAACAGGTTGGGTGACCAGTTTGACATGCATTCAGAATTCCAGGGTATGACTTGGTAGAGGATAGAGAGGGCAGACTGATCGCTTTGGATGGAAAATATATTACAAATATCACAAAAACCAAATAGGTGCGAAGAGTTTCTTCTAGTGTGGCTGATGAACAATACTAACACTATATTGACATAGCATATTATAAGTGAGGTTTTGCCTGCAGTCATGTTATATGAGGTATTGCACTAAAATAACACAAAAGGCATGTAGTGTCTTTATAGTTTGAAGGTAAGCATTTTCATTCCATAGTTACTACTATAATATCCATAACAGGGGGATTCTGTGCCCTTTACTTGTGCTGCAGACAAACAGCAGGAATTTCATGTATGCTAACATAACATTTTTTTAATACGTGTGTGGATGGGGCTTTGGTGCTTTTAATCTGTGCTGAAAATTGATCGTTTGGGACTCACAGGTCATTTCTACATACTAACGTTAGTACACTAACATGTAGTACACTGTGTACACTAGGTTCTTACTTGAGAAGTGCGTGAATTTCGACAGGGTAGTATCAAATCAAAGGCATCTGTTGTGCAATAACCAGAAATTACAACGCAACATTTGACTGCTTCTTCTTCTTTTTCTATCATTATCGGCAACATTGCACCATGATTGTCACCCACCAAAATATTCAATGCTTGACATCAATTCAATTTTATTAAAAATTAATATAAATTACTGTACTTGTTATTTTAACAACACAATTGTTATAGCTTCCCCTGCTGCCATTTTCACAAGTTTGAAAACAGTTTGGTGGTCCCTCCCTTTCCGCTATGTAGCCAAGATGACTGTAGCCACACTCAACTTTTTGACCATTATGAGTATACCATTCAGTTAATCATAGTGCACTACATTTTGCTGTACTTGTCTGTCTGAACACACTTGTGCACTCAAAATAGCAATTGTAAACATGGAATTGATTTGAGACACAGCACATACGTCTTGTTAGCTAGGTAAAGTTGATGGATAGTATGTTGCGTGTGGGAACGTTTTGGAAAAACCAGTATAATTAAGTGCCACAATTACTTTGACCTTTTAAATAGTAATATTACTATTTCTGGTAAGGCATCTATACTTTCAAACACATCAGGACATCAGCAAGATCTCACAAGTGAAAAGAAATGAGAAAGTTTCGCATTGACTTGAATGATGATCTGTTGGGGAGTCCCAGGATGAGTGTCTATATTCTCATCACTTATGAGGCAAAACTATCTCTGTGCAAATAGAGAATAAATCATAAATCTCCACAATTCCAAAAGGGGGGTTCAGCTGTGCAAAAGGTAAATCAACAGTTCACAGCAATCCACCTTGTTACACACACTGTGAACAAATCGCTGTGTGAGTCAGCAGACCTCAGAGCACAACAAATCCTTTATCCTTTGCGCCCATGATTAACCGTGTCACATGTCAACCCCGGAGTATCACATACTGTTTCTCACTTACTGTACATGTACATTGAATACACTTGTGTAAACTGTATTATGGATGGTTCCGTTATGACTTACAGTAAACATGACACTGTTGTTTTTTTAACATTGTAGTGATAGAAACTCAAGACTCATGGGTCACACAGGGGTCAAAGAGATCATTGTGATCAACAGTTGTGCTGCTAACTTTTAGGTTTAAAAAAAGTTTTCCAATGAGTGTGATCTGTGAGAATTCTGTGTGATCTGTTGGGTGTATGTGTGTGTGTGCAAATTGAAACCTCATCAATGGGCTAATTGTGAGGCTCACCTAATTTTTCTGTGGTTCACAACACACACACACACACACACACACACACACACACACACACACACACACACTGACACAGACATGCACTTGTTCCTCATCCCTTGGTATTAGTCTAAAGTGGAAAATCATTGATCCGACTCATTAGATCTGACCCTTCTCTATTATCTGAGGAGATTAGAGTAAGGCCTTTTCATTGGATACAGTTTTGTTTGTCTATTAGGGGAGGGCCACAATAACATATCTTTTCTAAATATATGAGACATCATACAGTTTATATTATAAATGTAAAGATGATCAGGCCATGATGAAAGGTTTGCCTGTAAAAGCAGATTGGCGTCACCATCACCTACTGGAACCAGTGCTTTGACACAGAAGAGACTTCTGGGTACCATAGATGACTCACTTACACTAAGGGTTGTGGTTATTTGATATAAGAACTGAGCCTATCATCACCCTCTAGTGGCCTTGAAGGAAATAAAAAGTGAAAATATAGTGAATACAACCTACACACACATATAAATACAATGATACAACTGAACATGCAGTTTGTTATTGGTAGAAAGTATAAAAAATAATCACTAGATCACAGACATCATACAATGAGAGGGAGACAAAAACCCACCAATATAAAGAAACAATGTAAACATAAAGCTCCTTTTTCTTTGAAGACCCTATATTCTCATATTATTGTCAGTGTTTTTTTTGCAACTGACTGAATCATTTAGTCATCTAGGCTATTGCTATCACATTTTGTCCCAATATAGTTCATGGTTGTAACATACAAACTAAGCCTATGACTGACTTTTCTTACGACAGTTTTTCTATTTTCTAATTCATAACTATTCCCAACATAAGAAAGATTCAGCAATTTCCTGAAACCTATAAACTAGTGTTATAAAATCGGCTTGTTTTACTAAAGTTGTGTTTGTATTCTGGTAAACGGACACTTGTTCTGGGTTACAAAGGTAAAACCATACATGTCATGAGAAAAACTCTGAACTTTGTTATTTTAGTAATTGTTTACATGGATAAGTAGGCCATATATGTACTGCCTTCAAAAACAGCAAGCCTTAAGCGTATGTAAAACATTTCAAACAAAAGCTGTCAGGGCCGTGGACTGTTTTTATAGGAGAATTTGGAGAGATGGCGGGGGCGCTCGTGCCAGTGCGCACATGCGCATTCGGTGGGAAGCACGATTGAAAACGGGCAGCTATGCCGCGCGGTGCAGAACACGAGCTGGACGTGTCCGCTTGGAACAACGGCCGGTGTACCGGAGGACTCACCCGGGGACTGCAGGACCGGGAGGCTGCTGACAGGCGTTAACAGCGAGTCTTACCCCGGAGACAACCTCCTACTGAAACCTCGGCGAAAGTATAGCGGCGCGAGCGGTCGACGAATCCTCTCCGCTTTCCCTCTCCTCTTCATCGCTTTCGGCACCGCACGAGAGACACGGAGACATCAGCAATGTTGCTGCTAAACGTGTAGGATTTATCCCCGTTGTCCGTTCGTTTGTACCGACTGTCAGTAAAACAGCCCAGAGACAATAAGCGACAACAGCGGGGTTCACTATGGTTTTATTGGCGGTCCGCAATAGGAGATGTCTTAATAGCTGCTGTATGGGGACGTTATGCTTGCAGTTGTTGCTGTGGATTTTATGCGCCGTGAACGGAGAGGAGCAGCCGTTCAGTGTGGAGGTAAGAACCGGACCGTTATTTATTTGACATGACAACATTCAAATAAAGGCAGGAGACATTTCCCTCCCATTAGTCTGCAATCTTTTTTGTCTCATTTCAAAAGAATAATGTATTTGAGGCACATTGTTTAGTTTGTGTTTATGTTTCAATAACAACAGGGTCTTTGTGAGATGCCCAACTGGGTTGAACACCCATCCTATCCTTTTCTCCACTTTTTCTTTGGAAACTTGATATTTCAGATGGAATGTGTGTCACAGCACATTAATCATATTAAGCATATTTCTTTCTCTGTGTAGGTTTGTTTATGTTCTCAAAGTGGGCTAACATTTCAGCTGAGAAGCAGTGTCACCAACCAGAAAAGGAGCAGCTTAATTTCACTATAATATAATTTGAACGTGAAAAAATGTCCTAAACAAGAGTTGTTTAGCTGTTTCTCCCCATAGAAACTCTACATGCCCATGTATTTCAGTACTAAGTAAACAGTGACAATGAAATCTAACAAAAGAAGTCATTGGGGCAAATATTCAGACTGGGTGCATGGCCAGATCTTTTGTGTTTTTAGGGGTCCGTGACGGAGACATGAGAACCCCCCACTTAAGAGCATTCAGATTGTATCACATGTGCCATTATAACAAAATCAGCACATGCTCTAAGAGATCTTATGGGTTCACAGGCAACAATGTGGGCAGCTACTGACTGGGAAAACAAGGTTTCTTTTAAAAAGGGAGCTTTTATTCTGGTCTGATAATCCCGACTTAATGGATTGTTAAAAGACTTCAGGCTACAAATGCTACAACAATAAACTTCAACACTCAATCAGTCTTTAAAAAGAGTTAGTGTTTATTTCTTTCTTCTCTTCTTCTATTCTGCAGAACTAACCCAAGCTTTCCTCCCTTGGGTAAAGGGAGACATTTGGGGTTTATTAAGGACACATGTCTATTTACATCCTCTTTTATTTCCCGAGCAATCACCTCTGTTTAACATAAGGCTGTTATAAAGGGTTACACAGCAACCCCTCACTGTCTTTCACACTTTGCTACACACACACACGCGCACACACACACACAAATGCAGAGACAACATACAGGAACATCCTGGCATGTCGACTGACGGCCATTCAAGTCCTTACATCCACATATCCACATGATTTGCAAGCTTGGCATGCCACGCTGTTCCCCTTGGAAAGGCCGGGGCGCAGATTTGGTCCAGATGCTACAGGTTATTCAGTTAAAATTTGTCCAAGCTGACATGACGGAAAGATGTAGAAAGTCAGAGAGATGTGAAAAGGTTTGTTCTTTGTACTCGGCTGATATTTCTTTGCCCATTTTCAGCTGACCATTTTACTGTAAAGTAACAGAAATATCTTTCAAAAACCTGTGCGTTTAAATAAGACCTGGCCTCGTTCGCCATTTGCAAGGCACAATAAACAATGTAAATAGGAGAGACTATTGATTATAGCTTGTGTTACAGTTGTCATCTTTTAGATTTCATTTCAAGTTTCTAACATGGCTTCACATTCCCTTCTCCCACATCTTCCGCCTTCACTTGCATGCTATTATTCTCCCCCAGCTTGTCTTTTCCAAGCTTTTCTTTGTCAGACTTGCACGTTAATGTACTGCAGTCAAGGCACGCCAACCTTTCCTATTTTAAATTGTCTACTTGTACTTTAGAAGTCTTAAAGTTGCTGTAAATCCGTCCGTGTGGCAGCCAAGTGACTCGTAGGAAAAAATATAAGCTGTAAGTCATTTGACTTTTAAATGTGTGAGATGCTTTGGTTAAAAACATTCACTTTGCTCTAAAAATAAATTTTTCATTGGTGAAACAACAATCCATTTCTAAATGTATAAGAGTAGAAGCATCACAAGATGTTCAGCGTGTACAGATGTGGCTGTGCTCAAACTTGTCATCATACAATGCTGCCAAATGGATGTACTGTTGAATACGTGTGCTTAGAGTACGTTCATGTCTATGCTCGCTGTCCTTTTTGGCTTCCCGTCTTGCTAGTGTGAGTTGCAAGATTCCAAAGCTTCCACAACATGTCATTCTTTTGTTAGTTTTAAGTGGGCCTCATGCTGTAATGCGAGCCATTTATGGCCCCTAATTTAACCGTCATTGTCTTAGGTATCCACAAGGTGAAAGAACTCTTAAGGCTGCTGGAGAGCATATGACAAACACTTATTATCCACTTACTATCCACATCTGTTGAGATGCCCTTGAGCAAACTATAAAGGGTTGTGCATCAAGTTGCCAAACGTATGGACTGAGTTTGTACTGTGGGTATCCAGCTGGATGTCACACTCAGTGGGCTAAGAGAAAGAAATGTGGCGCAAAAATCCAATGTTATTTGACCCTATGAGGCAGCTGAGGTATAGCCTAAAACGTGTCTTACTGTAAGTGCTTTGTAAACTGTGCTGTCATGTCCTGCAGTATTATTCTGTGTTAGACAGAGTTATACAGCCAGTAGCTGGGTGACTGATGTCCCTCTGTGTGTCTGTGAAGCTCTGGTTTGGTAAGATTGTGGACTGTGTTGAACTGGTTTCCCTGGAGCCATTTACTGGACTCGTTAAGACTCCGTGTGTTTGTGTGTCTGTACCACAGGTTATAGAGGGCAATAATAAAGAGAGAGGTGAGTATTGCCTCTAAATAACAGGTGTGGTTTGAGGTGGGAGGTCATCTAAACTGCCCTGTAATTGCCGGTCAGACGGTGGCCTCTACCCTTTGTGACGGCAGCTTTAGTGCTGACTTCCTGGATTTGACTCCATGGCTGAGTTTTCTGTGTTGCCAATTTTTTCCCTTCTTACAGTTTTCTCTGCTCTGGATGACATTTTACAGAAAGCGCAGCCTGTCGCTGGGCGATAAAACGGTAATTAATACTAACTTGTAACACCTCACTTCAGTCTAACACTATAGATCTGCCAGTCTGTGCTTACTGCTGAAGTATTTCCGAAAAAGCTCCTCAGCTTTTGTTTATCCAATTGTCTTCCCTGAAGAAGTCATTTCCTCTGCAAATTAGACAATGTCATCAACAATGGCACTGCCATGAGTTCATTTCATTTATCTTTTTGCGAGTTTTGTTTTCTGTTTCAATCTTTATTGATTTTATATGAAAAAATTGACGGCTTTGTGTGACAGCCAGTGAAGTAATTTTTAATGCCTTCTCCAAGCGCAAGCAGTCGAGCTATCTTGAGTTATTTGTATCATTAGTTTTTATATAACAGAGTAATTAAAAGAGCGATAATGGATTTCTAATCTCTTTTTTCCCTGCCTGTGTTTGACACTGGCTGACAGGATGAAATTTCACTTAATATTGTGTAAGAGTTTTCTCCGCTCAGTGCCACGAACACACAGCCATCCTGAACTGTTCTTCAGCTATGCACCCATTTTGTCTAAAGTAGTGGCTTTAACCTGGCTTTTCAGTTCAAGATACAATACTTCATATTTAGATTTAAATGCCAAGTTGACTGCTGAAACTCCTTCCCCTGTGCTGCTTTTTCATTGGATTGACGCTATCCTAAAATGTTTGGGTTGAGCTTTAAATGCAGGCAGCATGTGACCGATAGGTACATTTTAAGAATTTGCAAACATTACAGTTAAACAGGATTATATTCATCTTAAGTGCTTATCTTTCCATCTGTGTCTGAAAAATTATCTGGTTACATAAAATCCTCATTGTATCACTTGCAGCTGTTTCTCTGCTATAGAGTCTACCTTCTCCTCATTCTGTTGGGATTTGTGGTATTTTGACTCATGGGTGATTTTTCTCACCACAGTTGCTTTCTCTAGGAACACAACAATAACAAGAACAACAACAACAACATGGAAGCGCCAAAGCCTCATGAGCATCGCACTGCCTTGGTTACACTCAGTACTTCACAGAGAGGCGTCAGGTGCAGCACTTCACTCTGAGTCACATAAGTGTTTGAATCATGCCACTGTGCTCACCAGAGACAAAGCAAAGTTGCATAGTCAGAGATAGTCTGCTGTACAACAAAGAGAGCGCAAAGTTGCTCTGGTGTACTCCCATCTGTTAACACATCCTCTGTCAGATGGATGAATGAATTAATAAAAGCTGTTTTGGCTAGACTCCGCTGACTGTCGGTTGTAATTATTAAGGATTTTATCTGTTCCGACTGTCAAGTCTGTCAGGCAGTCAGTCTATCTCAGCAATCTACGGTCAGATTTCTATGAAATCTGGTGGACGGCCCTTTCATCAAAAAACAATTGATGTGGTTTTGGTTGTGATCCAGGTATGGAAATTCAGTTATTGCCTTTTAGCCAGAACTATGAAACAGATACAAAATCTTTTAGAGACTTAAGATCCCCCCCAAAAAATCAAAGATGCCAAAATCTATGCATCATTAAATATAGGCTATAGGAATATGTGTGCAATGTTGAGCACATTGGTACTGCCTTCAAAATGAATTGTTGACTGATTTCCAAAATTTTTTTAAAAATTTATTTTGGTACTAAATAGGGATAATCCTTAATTAATGTATATCTACTTAAGGTGGAATCATGATGTGATATGATTATATCGGGTTTCCAAATTACGGATTTGATTAAGGAAATAGTTTGGGAAATTTTTTGCCGAGAGATAGGTGAGAAGATCAATACCACGACCATGTCTGTACAGTAAGTAGGGCCGAACGATTAATCGTTTTAAAATTGAAATTGCAATTTTGAAAGAATGCAGCTAATCATGAAGAAGGCGATTAAAATATAGGTTAATTATACAGCGCATCTGATCCGTTTTAAACAGTCATGCAGTTACTGATTCATTCCATTTGTCATCCTTGTGTGACAGACTTGCTAACCAATCACAAGCGCCATGCGCTTCCTGTTACAGTCCTACCTCTGTGAGCCGGTTTCGTTGATTAATTGGAACACACAATTTGTTTGGTTTAAGGTGGCCAATTGCAAGTTTTTGTTCTCTTTGACTCCTCTGAAGAGTGGTAACATGGGGGCCTCAAAATAACTCTCAAATAACCTGAAAACAAAGA